TTACTATAGTAAACGGTAAGAGGATCATTTGTTAATATTTACTAACTGATAACGATGTAAATTATAATGGTTCACTAACATTTTATTAACGGTAGGGGGATTTCTGTGATCATAATTAAGGGAGACTAATGTCATTCACTCTAGGAATAATTAATTTAAGTTACGACTCCTTAGGCTAAGTAATATTTGGTACACCGTACACTTAAATAAGATAGCAAAACTTTTTATTGATGTTTGAGGTACTTAAACGTGTTACTTTATGATTTTAAAAGGAGTAAAGTGTTCAACTTTAAGGGATCAGAATGCTACTTTCTAATTTTAGTGGATCAAAATGATAGTTAACCTATATCTTAGAAAACTAATATTAATGATCCCATAAATTACAAGCTTAACTAGGTATAGAAATCAATTTATATATATGGAATGAATATTTAATCTTAACAATTACCAATAAAGAAAAGAGACAGGATCTTTTAATTTAAAAAGTCTTAGCTTAAATTGAGGCATAAATTTTCAACCATTGATTCATACATAAAATAAATTCATTAACTTGTGGTACATATTTTTGACGTAATATCCTAGTATTCTACCTTATACGAATTGTGCAACAAAATACTTCATAAGTATTATGAATTTTTTATAGAAGGTATTTATTTTTAGATCCTTTTCTTAATTTCTATTACAAAAGGAGTCAAAATTTAATTTAATAAGCCTTCATTAAGGAGACTAATTAGTGTGGAAATAGTTTATCATGCAATTAATTAATTATTTAGATTGAATAACCTTTTGGGTCCAGCATTTACCAATTATATGATTTAAGAATTAATAAATTAATGAGTTATTAAAAAAAAAAACACTTATAATAAATTAAATAAATTACTTTGTTAAATATAGAACCAAAAACATGTTCTTATTATATATGTATTTTAAAAAAAAAAAAAAAAAAAAAAAAAAAAACCTTTTCTTTTCTAAAAAAAATATCAAATTAAAATGACCATAAGCTGATTTATGCATCTTTGAAAAATAAATTTTGGAGAACATATATTAAATAATTTAGTTGTAGGTCAAATAATTGTTAGTTAATTAAATGTTTATGTTAAAATTAATTTAAACATGAAGCATGCCTTTCACATGAAAAACAAATTCTATTTAAAAAAAAAAAAAAAAATCACTTGCACGAGAAAAATAACAAATTTGAAAATTTCTTATCGAAATTTTGTTTTAAATTGTTTGGAATCTGCCTCAGAGATTTTATAATAGGTTGAATGACATTAATTCCCTGAAGTATATAATAATACAAAACTCTCTCAAATTATGAATAACATAAATCTATCTGTCATTAATGAATTAGTAAACTGTTGAAATTTACACTGTTATGAGTTAATAATAATTACCAAATTACCCTTCTGCTGTTCATTCTAGCATCTAAAACTTAATGACAAAAGGATTTTTGTTATTTTAAAACCTTAGGGGAATTTATTAAATCATATATTAGGAGAATTAATGTTATTAACTGTTTTCTTTATATTAGAAAACATTTTTAGTCAATATTCAGGAAATAAGATAATTCTATACACAAAAAGATCTAATAGTAAAACATACTTGCTCAATGGATCAAAATAATACACAAAACATGGTAGGTTAGGTCTTACCCGTGACTCGAGTATAAGACCCTTGGTATAGTTAACCTTAGTAACTAGAAGGCTTTCCATCCGGCCACAATTACCTCTCACAATAATAATAGAGTTAATTTAGGATAGCATAAGGTGTTTTTAAGTCTTTAAAATGTGGGTCTCTCAATCATATAATGGAAGGAAAAAAGGGTTATAAAAAGAATAAGCCAGGCTTGAATTTAGATGAAAATATAATAAGGTGGGCAACTAACAATATAATAAACAAGGGCCTACTCTATCAACAACTATTTTTTCATCATTACAACTCAAGCATAAACCAATAACATTACAAATACTTGTTTATATCTTAAAATATGATATCTATAATTATGACAGAAAATATATGAGTGGATTGGTATTGCATTTGTTAATATTTTCAAAAAATTAATCTAGAAATGAAATAAAAATAAATTTTCATTTTTTTTTCCTGAGAAAGAAGAATCATGTATTTAAAAATAAGCATAGACTATAGTGTCAGCAATGCGGTTTGGAGGAGATAGCAAAAACCAGTTTTTTTTTTTTTTTTTTTTTTTTTTTTTTTTTTTTTTTTTTTTTTTTAATGATTGAAGGCGTTCGAGGTAGCTTACGATTACCTTAACTAATCATTCAGGACCCTGCAACTATCGATCGAGTAAGAATTGCAGTGGCTATTTCTATAACAATCGAGGAGGAATTCGATCTCAGGACCTCTTGGTAATACACATAAAAGTTCCTATCGAATCACTCAATCACCAAAGGTAGTTCACAATTATTTGATTCGACATGTGTTTTATTAATTTTTCAATAGATCCTTATCTTTTATTTTAATAAATGAACATTATCTTTTAAAAGAAAAATTAATGACATGTACCAATAATGTAACCACATGATAGGATGATTTTACACTCAATAACATAACTTATGTTTGATAGGAACAAAAATTGTTTTTAAAAGGCGTAAAGGGTGGATTTGGTATATTTTGTAAATCGTTTTCAAAAAAAAAAAAAAAAAAAAAATTGTAAATAAAAATTACAAATTAAATTTATATTTTCAATTGAGGATACAAATGATGGGCTCTTTTTTACCTTGCTTTTTTCTCTTTAAAGAATAGACTTTTGGGAGAGTACAAAACATGTTCGTAATTTGTCGGGTTTGAAAAACAGAAGGTAAAATTTGAAACAAAATATAACTCTTTGGGACTTTTGTGAAAGAATGGTCACCCATGCACTAAGTTTAGCCATACAAATTAGAAATTTTCCAAATTCAATCAATTCCAAACCCAGAGAATTAATGAAATAATTAACTAAAAATGAAGAAACAAACAAACTTTTTTAAACATAATTTAGGAAAATAATTAATTTAAGATGATTAAGGTCAAAGATGGTGTTGTGACCCTTCTATTTATATCACCATAGTTAACTTGTATTGGTAGGTAGTTTGAATTTTGTATCACGGTTCATAATTAAGGGAATTATTATAGTTAAATAATAATAATAATTTAATCCAAAATCTTAAACTGTTCAAATACCTATGTGTTCGGTTTAATTAAAAGGAGTTTATAGAATTAAAGCTTTTATCGACATGGTTACTAGTTTGAATTAAGAAATGTGAAAGAATTTCTACATTTTTTATAAAAAATGTTAAATAACTAGTCGTGTGGTCGGATGACAAGACTTTAGTATTTAAATGGGTTATCCAAAGATTTTATGTTTAAATCCCACAAAATGACTATCTATTACATTTACGTCTTACTTATCTCAGCATTAGTTAAGTAAGCGTAAACTAACTAAGACACTTCAATTAATCAAAAAAAAAAAAAAAAGATTAAACTTTTTTTTATTTTTATTTTAACATTGTGAAAAGTGGAAAGGGTCCCAATTTTGAGTTTCTCATAGAGCTAAAATAACTATTAATTGGTTTCGACTTTGTATCTATACTGATTATAGTATTATTCATTAGAGTATTAGATTACTTCGTATTGGAAGAATCTTCATCTAGAGTATATGATTACTTCGTATTGGAAGAATTATTTTAGTTTTAATTTTTAATTTTATCTTTTACTTCTTTCTCATTTCTATTGATTTTCTTAGTTCAATAAGCTTAAAGACAAACCCTTCAAAGCAAGATTGGATATAATTATTCCAAAATGAAAAGCATAATCTTGCCCTTTATTATTATTATTATTATTTACCCAAATTTAACCAAGATTAAAAAAATTTGAAGAAGCAATTATGCTCCAAGAAACTCTTCAATGATTTCAAATGATTTTTACTCATTTTTAGTGAACAACCCAAATTTCTTTAAAGAAAAGGCAACACAAAAGCAACTATATTTACTTGGAGATCATTACATTTCATCATCTAGCACATAATGTTTTATTTATTTTAAAAAAATGGAATGATTATTAAATCCAACCCAGATCATTTACAATAAATTATAACTATTGTTTGACTAAATCGTATTTAAAAAAAAAAAAAAAAGAAAAAAAAAAAAGAAATTGAAGGTATTTAGAATGGAATCTTACTTGGTTGTCAAGGTCAATAAAAATTAAAAATTAAAAAAGAGAGAGAGAGAGAGGGGGAACGACTACTCATACCAGTAAAAATATCGTGAATGCACGATAATTTTTAAAATAGAAACTAAGGCAGCAATAGGAGAGTCATGTCATTCAACAAAATGAGAAAATAAATAAATGAGAGAATCGGTAGGCGTAAATTCTTAATATAATTTCTCGATTATTCAAAAAAAGTGAAGATTTTCAATTCCTTGAGAATTTTTCGAAACAGAAACTCAAGCAGCAATAGAAGAAGGTTCATGTTATTCAAAACGCGGTAAATGTACTGAAATCAACAGATTTTTGAAAGTCCGGAATAAAACGGAAAAGAACTCAGAAACTGCAGCCAGATGTTGCGAATTGTCGATGACAAAGCTGCCTCAAGAACAAATGGCGGCCGGACAGTAGGACCTGAAAAATAGAAAATGATATCGAATCAAAACACTCAATTTTTACTAGCTGTGGGATGTACTTTATTTGAATTTTAATATTGAAATCCTATTATGTATTATATTTCGATAAATTTCCTAAATAGAATTTTTCTTTTCTGTCAGGGTAGATTTAAAGTCTAAATAAGAGTAGCTTTCCATTTTCAGTTTAGAAGATGATAATTATAGAAATACTGAATATTGGTTTTCGCCCAGATCTCTTGGTTTCTCACGTTTCTTTTCCCTCGATCATTTTTTGTCCATAAATCCTACGTCAGAAATCTAAGAAAATATAACCAAGCTCAAATTTTTGAGAAAGTAAATTGAACTTCGATTGTGGTGTCATTTCAGATAACCTAAAATTTACTGGAATTAGCTTAGAAGAATTACCTTGTGCTTCCGAGCATAACGTAAAGCCTCATTATAGTATCCATCTTGCACTAGTAGCACCACATAGTCATGATGTAGAGAGAGCTGCCTCAGCATATCTAGACCCAGCTTCCTGGTTTCGATATTCTGCCGACCAGACTCAAGAAGCTGCAATGCAACTTCCTTTGATGGTTCAAGAATCTGTAAACAAACGACTTCACCATTACGCTTGATAGCAGTTAGACTGTAAGTAGAGCATATAAAGCATTCTACTGATATTCGTCAACACAATTATCAAAGAGATTTAAAACCTTGTTTATGATAAACAATCCTAGCTCAGCATATCGCTCATTGCGTGCCAGCAGTTGTATGGTCAACACATAAAGATTTGGATGTACTTTGATCTTCTCTGAATTGGCACTGTACAGAAGAAAAATAAAAAAATATAATTCATGAAAGCAAATTCACCCATCTCTAACTCCAAAATTAATTCCTGGTTAAATCATACCGTTCATCAAACCAGGCATCTTCAATCATATTGATATGTTGGTAACATAATATATTATTCTAATATTATTGATATTAGTGCAAAATTCGAAAATTAATGGACTTTAATAACTCTGTACCATAAAAACTCAATTATTCTAACAGTATCAGCATCAGTTTGAATTCAGAAAACTAAGTTCTTTTCTTCAAAAGTTGACATACCTGCGAAAGAACTCAATGATGATGGAAACTAAGTACGAAGGGTCACCCAAAATCTCTTCCTCAACAGGAGCAAACACAAATCTGTACATCTCATCAGGTGAAATTGCTGGTGAAGTAAGTTGAGAATCCTGCTGCTCAGAGATATTGTCAGTTGGCCTGGAAAGTTGACGTTTAAAAGATGATGACTGAACTTCTGCACTAGAACTTCCAGCAACTGCTAAATTAACTTTACCACCACCAAGTTGAAGATTAGTAGAGTCTGTTTTCAAGGGTTCAAAGCTGGCATTCTCCTCTGAATCTGAATCTGAATCTGAACCCGAAAAAGTTGAAGATCTATTTAGACGTTCACTGTCAACTCCAGCAGTTGTTTCATGTCTGATGGATTTTCCATCTATTCTATTGGTGGATATATCAGTGCCAGATATAAGGCCACTAGCATTCGGCGCACCTGAAGAAGAAGTCTTCTCTGTCTTTGTTCCCTTAAAATAACTGCCTGTTTTGATCGAGTAGGAATAAGAGGTAACTAATACATCTATGGCCTTGGCAACCATAGACACAGGTCTTCGTTCTAGAATAACAGTCCGTGCTATTCCCAAGCACAATTGTTTAGCCTAAAAAAGCAGAAACACCATATAATTAAACAGCTAATAATTGAATAGTTCACATCTCATAAAACACAAGCACAACAGACATACAAAATTACTTCATGAGATGCCACAGAACATTAGTCATAGACTCACATTATGCATGTGAGTTCTTGTTTTCCTAAAAAGTAAACACCATCTAACATTTTTATCACATTTATGGTGAATACTACATTTTATGGGGTGACTGACTTCACTCTCAGTATGAATGTGCCAAAGATTCTGGGGAAGAAAGGGCACAATTTCTTTCCTTGAAGAGAACAAATACCCATAAAACAAACTAAAACACACATTAAGACTTAGAATGTGTTTAACCTTATTGGCTTCCAGCTTTCGCCGTTGCAAGAATTCCAATACTGATGGCACTTCTGAACTACTGGCAGAAATTGCCTGCAGGAATGCCAAGTATTACAGGAATGAACAGTTTAATAATATCAAATTAAGTACTAGAGAGATGACAACACTTACCTCCAAATCTAAATGGATCTTCCACAAAAGCTTGTTAGAAACATCGCATATGAGGTCAGGAACGAAAAAAGTCCAGTTATCTCCATAAATAGTTGCTTCATTATCAATATTATTGGCCTCTGAACTTTCACCATCTCTCCTGGCAGATCGAGAGGAAGAAGAATAGGACCTTGGTAAACCCCTCAATAGTAGAGGAAGTGGGGCAGATATGGGAGCTCGAGAATCTGCAAAAATGTCATACAATATAACAACTTTTGCATCTACTTGGTGAACAAGTAGTACGTTATCAACCACACTAATGGCAATCTTGCTTGAGTAAATTGGAAGAGATCCCTGCACATTGGAATATCCAGTTAGAAAAATAATTGTGATGCCAAATTATTGCAAGGACTTTAGGCCCAACAAAGACACACTGACACACACACACAATATAGCCACAGAAAACTGAGCATGATTTTACCTGTTGTACAACAGCATCACGGTAAAATCTATATGAGTGGAGTAGCATTGCAACTCTATCAACTTGCAAACAGTATATCCTACCATAGCTGTAAATATCAAGAATGCTTAAGATTTGTTTTCTGTGAACAAAGGGATGCAATAACAGATGGATTTAAGCAAAAGTAACCTACACAGTAACAATATAGACGTCTTCAGCAGCTAGGACAGGCTTACTGTTGGTCTCAGGCCTAGCCATTACCATTTCAAACTTCGGCAAGCGAATCACTCCAGCAGCTGAAAGCTGTAGAAAGGAGCTACCAACCGTGTCAAAATAAAGGAAGAACTTCATAAGTATAGGAGATCCTTGTAGTTATTTTATAAATTCTTTTTCTTTATTCGGCCATGAGATTGGATATTCAATAAAATTCAATTAATAATTCCATCTAACAGTATGTATTAAAAGTGATCATACTGTTCAGGGGCCAGGGTGAACTTTTTTTATTTAGAGTAAAACGATACTCGTACATCATAAATGTTAAATATAAAATATTTTAAAGACAACTGCAACAAGTTGAATGTAATTTATAAAGAACACATCAAAGATCACAGAAAATACACTTCAAGTAGGTCTCTCTCTCAACACGTATATTATGTAATAAAATATAAATTTAAGAAAGGAAACACTCCATGCAAAAAAAGAAAAAATATTGAAGTTGAACCATATGATGCTTCAAAGAGTATAGAGTACAAATTATCAAATTTCTGCAAATAAATGCTCGCAACCATACACATTGGCAGATAAAGTCAATTAAGTCACTTTTTATGATAATATAATCCAAGACAAGGAGTTTATATTAAGAATATATTGAGAGGCTTGCTTTTTATTTCTAATTTTAAAGTATCACAGATAAATGATGTAGGATATAAATATTAATAATAGACATATCCCAGAATGAACAACTTTCAATACAAGTTTCCACAAAAAAAATTCAGTCAAATTTAACTGAAAGTACTCCATTTTCAGTTTCTATACAAATGAAACAATAACAAGTTTTCAATTCTACCACCAAGCATTCCCTTGGCAAATTTTTTATATTTATGTCATACCCATCGAAAGCTATGCTTTTAAGCTCCCAGTCAAACATCATCTTTCATAAAAAAAAAAAAAACATGGATAAAAGTAGATCCTGATTTTTTTTTTAGTTACATCTTCAACCAACCTTTTAAGTTAATGGAGAAAAAGATCTAGGCAATGGTTTTAAGACAAGACTGACAGATCTAGAGATCATAGCAGAGTAAGGAGATTGACCATTTGAAATAAAATAGTTTTCTTTTCTAAACTTTTGGTGATATTTTCCTGTTTCATGATCTCAACATGTGACCCCGTATGTACAAATATAATGCTTTAGATATACACCCGAAACATTAAAGCAATGGTTGTTCCTCAAAACCAATTTTCAGGACCACTGGTTTTTCCACTGGTTTTTGAACAAGAAGCATACCAACAACATCATCTAAGTAAAAAAGGATTCAAATAAAACAAAGCTAACACTAGAGCTGTCAACAATACCTGAAATCCGGTGAACGTCCGACACTGCATTCCAGAAGCAAGAAGAACCAATCTACTCTCATGTGTGTAGACATACCAGCTCACATGCATTTTCCTTGTCTCCACCAAGTCAAGTGATTTTGAGACAGAATTGTAAGTCAATAAGTCCAGCCCACTGTAATTGAACTCCATTTAGTGAAATGAAGAAAAACAGAAAAGCTGAAGGCAAAAATCAATGCAGCCGAGAAATAGGTGAACTAGCTACTCAAGATCAGCAACAGGTTATGAGATTTACAACATCTTTAAGTTGACACGAATAGTACCTTAAAATTTTGGCAAAATAATGCTCAACATAAAACACCGAATATTGACAAATGCTGTCCAATGCCCATTCTAACCCTTGGGGCCAAGTCCACAGAAAAAAATGTGGCAAACATGTATGGAGATGATTCTTATCTATCCCAAAAGACATTAAACACTAAATAACTGTAAAATGAGATTCCCATAATTGACTTGACAGTTCACCATTGACAGTCTATTTTCCAGATTTTTTATAATGCTCCCACCCAGCATAAGAGCAGAGAGCAGAATATCTCATTTGCAGTCATTACAGATATAGAAAGTAAACGACTATCACAGATGTACCAGTTCTGCAATTGCTACCAAAACATACTGGAACCCTAGGTTTGGTGTTACCAAGATCCAACAGGCTCATCACAGTCAAAGTTTATCCAAAATAGCTTTCTCATATCAGCATACTGTATCATTAAAAATCTACGGAGCAGACATATATTTTTTTGGTTCTAAACAACTTTTGTGCCATCATTTATGTGTATTTATCTTTCTTGATAAGAGACAAACAAACTTCATTAAGATAAAATCTTTTTGATAGACAATAAAAATCAATTATTCAATATTTCTAAAACATACAGGAAATTTTCTCTTACCTATTCTTTACAATTACAATATCACACAGAGCACAGTCTGTCCAAAAGAAACCCAGTATACTCTCTAACTCTGGCCTGCACCTATGGCTAAAACTTTCCTTTGTTTCTCTGTTCCAAATCTGTATCTCAGTGCTGGATTGTTGTATTGCTATAAGTTTTGCATCTAGAGAAAATCGAATGCATAAGATTGGCCCTTCACTGATTGAATCAGAGGTAGGGATGGCAAGAGGACTGAAGGGAACAGTTTTCCACGAAAATATCTGTATAAAAAAGGAAAACAGAGAAGATTATGGGACTACGCACTCAGAGAGGGATTTCAAAGTAAATAATAATTTAATAATTAATTGAAAAACACCTAATACTGCAGATGCACTTCAAATGCATATCAAATTCCAGATTGATCACATTACCTGATCAGATGATGATGAGATGAGTAACTTATTTCCATCATCATAATGTAAGCTCCTTGATTCAGGAGTGCTGCATCGTAGAGGTGGGTATTGTATATAAACATGTGATAGAGCACCGGAACCACTTAAACCAATGCTAGGCTGAGAACTTGATGCTTTTCCAGACATATCTCCTGGTTATCTGTTTTGTAATATTACCAACAAGATACAGTGAAGTATATCAAATGAGCTGAAAAGAGAGCGTGTATTATATATATCTATAACACTATGAAGCTATGCACACATGCCATCAACTTCTTTGCTTTTCAATCTTAAGAACCCAAATGGGAAAATATTTCTGTGACACCTATAGGAAAATATCAGGAACATTCAATGCAACAGCAGCAAAAATATTAGAGCTTATGGTGCAAGTTTAAACTAAAAAACACAATACTTCATTGATTTCTGGTATAAATAAAGGAAATATATAATAACACAAACCTTTTTTCTTCTTGAAGCTTCAAGGTGATGCTTGACGTATATTCTTCCAAATATTGACAGAAGAGAAGTATAGACTTAGGCCTTTCCTCGGAGCTGTTAAGCAAGATTAAAAAGTATGATGTTAAGAACAAAATCTTCTAGAAGAGAATAAATACCAAGAACTACGCCATCCTGTAAGCTATAACAAATTTCAACACAATTTTTTCCAGTCATACGCCAAAATGCATCACTTAGTGACTCTAGAATATGGTACCGTATTTTGCATGCAATTCTTGAGTTTAATAAATTCTTTCAAACACATATCACGCTCAACTTCTGGAACTTTTTCAGCAACACAACCTCCGTATTCTTTAGCCTGAAAAAAGAAATTGTATTCAGAAAAATCAACCAAAGCGGCAGGAAGATTTCACAAACATGTTCAAAGAAAGGTCATCAAAATGTGTATACAAGAATTGAGAACTTCTATTTTTTTTTTAAATATTAGAAAATTTAATTTTCCGTCATTTCTTTCATGCTCTCAATACTTTTCCAAAAGCACTTTCCTAAAACATAACCTATCAATTGCTTTTCCAAAAAGCACTTGTCAGCGACAAACCTGAGCTGCACAATTCACTAAAATGCGCCGGAGCACAGAGGAAGTATTCTTTTCTTTCATGTCCACAAAACTGGAAAAAAATAAATCTAACAAATCAAACTTGTTAAGGAGTAACAAGTAATCATCACACATATATTAAACACAACAGCAGGGAAAATTTTATGCAAGTCCTTGCCTCTTCACATTTCAACAGATTCGTCATAATCAATACGAATAACTCTCCAGCAAATCAAACATGTTAATGAGAAATCATCACACATAAAGCAAGCGAAACAGCAGGTAAATTTACATAAATGTCCACGCCTCTTCAAATTTCAACAAATTGGTCCATAATCAACACCGAGTCAATTTCTTCTTCAAAATTGCAGTTAAAATTTGAAAGCAATTCTTCAAATCAATCAATCGTTTCACGCAACAGTTATTGAATCTTCAATTATACAGAAACTTAGATTACCGAACAAATCAAACTTATTAATCAGTAATGAGCAATCACCACACATTAATTAAACACAACAGCAGGTAAAATTTCATTCAAGTCCTCGTCTCTTTAAATTTCAACAAATTCTTCATTAATCAATACGAATAATTTTCCAGCGAATCAAACATGTTAATGAGAAATCATCACACACAAAGCAAACTAAACAGCAGGTAAATTTCCTACAAGTCCTCGCCTCTTCAAATTTCAACAAATTGGTCCATAATCAACACCGAGTCAGTTTCTTCTTCAAAAATGAGTTAAATTTGCAACCAAATCTTCAAAATCAATCATTCGTTTCAAGCAACAGTTTATTGAATCTTCAGTTCGACAGAAACTTTGATTATTCGAAGAAATAAAACGATCAAAATCAAGTAGTTGCAAGAGAAAATACCTGGAGAATCGACCATGTCGTTTAAGTGTTCGTAACAAAGCGAAACGCAGATTCTGATTCTGTTTCTTTTGAAATTCATGCGGTGTTTTTTTTTGTTTCAGTTCCCTAAGTCTTCTTGGAGTGTACGCAGAAATAGAAGTGAGGGCATTTAGTGATACTTAAAGCCCGGCCCGTTACGACCGTATCATTTTAATTGTCCAATATTTTTTTTAAACGTTTAGTCCCACCTGAGATTTTATATTATTACAAAATTCCCCTCATATTTCTGAAATAACAATAATTCCTAATCGTTTGTGAGCCGTTAGAAGTTACATTGGTAAGAGTTAATGAATATTAACCAAATTGTCCTTTTACCGTTGATTTTAACACCTAAAATTTAATGACAGTGCAATTTTTGTTATTCCAAAAACTTCAAGAGAATTTTGTTATTTGATCATACGGGGATAAAAATCTTTTTAAATTTAATTATGGGGTTTCCTCAACCCCCGAGGTTTAATCAAGTAACAGAACTTCCCATGATATTTTATAAATTATAACAATTCCCCTATTGTTAATGGACCATTAGACTTAATAACAAGATAGGTTAATAAACATTTTACCTAATTACCCATCTATCGTATATTCTAACATCAAAATGTTAACAATAGGGAATTCCTATAATTTCTATAACCATAGGAGGATTCTGTGATTTAATTATACATAAGGGGGCTTATTATCAGGGGCGGATCCAGAAATTTCTGTTAGGGTGAGTCAAAATACAAACTAATTGTACATTAATATTTTTGTCCATTAATATTTCTGTTAGGGTGAGCTACAATCCAGAAATTGTATATATTAATATTTAAAAAAAAAAAATTGAGGTTGGGTCATGCTAGTACTGCATTCACCCCACTTATTATTATTAATCCTTAAATTATTTGAAAACTATTCAAACGCACCCTTAAGTTTCGGAAAATTTACTACCCCATAGGTATTGAAACTTATCATAACCTCCCCTCATCTTTTTGCAAAATAGAACTCTCCTCCCCTTTCCGAAGCTAATCAATGGTAGATTTTAAATGGAAATGTCATAATATTTTTCTTTGACTCATGTGATTGTGGTCCTTTAACTACTTAGATGAACTATTATAGGGGAAATGTAATTGTAGTCTTTTAACTATGCATAGATTGATTGTAAGATATCTTATCCATGTAGGTATTGTCATTGTTTATAAAGTAAAATGATATGTGCTCACCAAAAAAAAAAAAAAAAAAAAATGTCCAGGGCAAGGGTAGTTGTGAAATTACATAGATACCTTTTATCACTAACATTTACCAATTACCATTACTTGTGTGAAGAGAGGTGATTGTGGTGCTCCTTTTGCAAAATGTGAGGGGAGGTCAATTATAGTTTTCCATTACTTATCAGGTTCTTCTGATATTAATTGAAACTCTAAGGCGGTTGTTGAAAGTTGCCCTTGATCATAATGCTTCAACAATTTTATTTTTCCTTGTTTCCAAAATAAATAATATATATATATATATATAAAGCTGAATACCCATACAGGTTGTTCGCCATGTGACACGTTTTGGAACTCATAGAATTGTTCCATTTTGACACATAGGCTTTGTGGTTGCTATATGGTTGAATTTTATTGGTGATGTTGTAGAGAGATATTAATTACTAAATTGGTATTCCAAATCCAAAGGTAAAAGCATATCTATTTGAGTGACACGTAGGACACATTTTTTTTTTTTTTTTAGCTCTAAAATTGGTTTATTTTTTAGCTCTAGAATTGCTCTCTCTTGCCACATTGTATGTGTGGTTTAATGAGATATTTTTAACTCTAAGATTCATGAATACCCATGCTGGTTGTTCGCCATGAATACCCGTGCAGATTGTTCACCATGTGGCACATTTTGGAAGATCTAGAATTACTCAATTTTGACACATTGGATAGTCAAATTGCTCTATCTTGACATGCTCGGTTGGTATTTATTGCATCATATATAATTAATAATTAATAATAATACAAGTGCATTGCATTGACATTCAAAAAATGTGAATTAATAACAAGTATATGGGTGTATTGGATTGTTATTATGTAACGCCCCACTTGAGGTACGTAGTAAATTATGTGGTATGCTTGAATGTTTGTTGATGTGTTCTCTTTTGAGCTTGCATGTTGTTATTTTGGTTGGTTGGCCCTTGGTTGAGTGTTTGCCTTGATTTTGGTTGAGTTTTGGCGAAATTTGGAATTTTGGTCTTCGCCGCGGCGACGTTGGCTTTGTAATTGCGGTGTCGGTTTTGTAATTTTTTGCCAGGGTGACAGAAGTTCTTCGCCGCAGCGATGGGCAGGCTGAAAAGTTTAATGAAGTTTCTAGATATTTTTTCATAGGGGCAAAATGACCATTCTACCCCTAATTAGCAGGAAAAGTGGGGAGTGAATTGTAAGAAAATTTTATGGAGAATATGTTAGGGTGGGCGTGTGATTGTAATGAATCAAAGGACAAGGATGGAATTGTCAAGAAAGAGCAAGGGCAATATGGGAATGAATGAAGATATTTTGAGCTAAAAAGGGGTTAAGCTTAGTAAACCCTTCATTCTTCATCTTCCACTGCCTCTTCCATTCTCTATTTCCTCTCAACTTTCCCTTCAACCTTTCAAGAATTTTAAAGGGCTTTTTGAGTAGTTTGGGGTAGAAAATCAATCTAAGACATCCTAAGGTAAGGATCCTTGCTTTAGATGTGAAGTTTTGCATATATTGTATTTTGAAGTCTTATGGTTTTATTGTTTAAAGTTGTAGAGAAGAGACAAGCATTGTAAAGGAAAGGAAAGTGCTAGTGAGATCTCTCCATTACAAGGTAAGTAAATCCCAACCCAAGTTGAGATTTGAGAACTCTCTTGAGTAGAGATTGAATAGAAATTATGTATGCATGTTATATGTTATGTTATTGAGAATTGAGATAGAGATGAATAATTGCTTTGTGGTTGTTAAATACACTTCAATTATGAGAAGTGTGATGTGTGATGACAATGTAGTTTGAGATGAAATTGGAGGAGATTGAGAAATCTCTTTGGAGTGTTATGTTGTGACAGGAATTATAGCTTGGTGAGGGAGTTTTCTCCCATTTTGGATGGTTCAAGAAAGGGATAGAACTATAGATAAAGTAGAGTTTATGTATGCACACTAATTGTTTGATGAAATGCCTAAGAGAATCATGAGTAGTAAACCTTAATTCTTGCAACATTGCATGTTGGCATTTCATGAGTGCATTAGTGGAGAAGAACCATCCAGATGCATTAATTGTGAATTGAGAAGTGGCTTGAGAAAGAGTAGAGAACTTTGTGTATGAACTACTCTAAGAGTAGAGAGAATGAGAAAAATACTAAAAACGGGTTGATGCTTTGTGATCTCCACCCGGTAGTTACTAAAAACGGGTTGGTGCTTTGTGATCTCCACCCGGTAGTTACGAAAAGCGGGTTGGTGCTTTGTGATCTCCACCCGAAAGTCACGAAGAGTGGGTTGGTGCTGTGTGAACTCCACCCAGCCGTGCCTCTGGTAAGATGAGGCCGTGACATATAGCAGAAGTTAAGTAACGAGAGCTGTGTGAAAGAGAAAATAAATGAGATAAGGAGAGTGTAAGGAAAGAATTAAGAGAAAGAGTTACAGGGACAGTCGAGTAGAGGATTTACTTATTGAGCATTATTTTGTGCTCACCCTATTGTTTTTCTTTGTGGTTGCAGGATCTAGGTGAGAACGCAATCGGATGGGCGCCGGCAAGCGAGGAGCAATAGCTACACTGTCCACTATTTTAATGGCATTTTGTAAATGATATTCTAGTTTGTATAAAGAATGTTTATATGTAATAAAAGAAAATTTTCGGGCCCAACTACTTTTAGCACAATACATGTATTTTACTGATGTATTTCTATAAGTATTTTAGTATTAAGCAGTCATTACATATTAATTAATGCATTGTATGGACATTGGAAAACTCTCTTCGTATTGAATTCATATTTAATTGCGTTGGTATTCAGAAGGTTTAAATAAGGGGTTATAAAAGGGGCACATGTTCAGTTGTGGATCATCGTAATTTGTTAATTGGTGTTAACAATACGTTTAACTTTTGTTAATTGTTTATAGGTCATGTTAGTTTGTGTCAATAATATGTCTGTTCTTCATGTTTTTTTTTTATTTATTTATGTTTTTGTTGTTGTTTACAGGTAAAACATCAGGAATCGGCACAAAATAAAGGCACGTTGTACGATTGACACTATTAGATGAGTTGTTATTTTGATTTATTCTTCTGAACTGTAAGTATATATTCTAACTATTTTAATATGAAACTGTAAGTATGTCTCCTATCTATTTTAATGGTTATTGTTAGATTGAATGATTGTTTTTGTTCGGTTAATTTATTTGATTGATTAATTGTATTCCTTCTGAACGGTCAGTCTGTTCCTTGATAATTTTAATATGAAGATTAATTAACTTTTGTTGTTGTCGTTTCTAGGTACCAATTTTTATACGAATGGAAAATTGTTCGTTAACAATGTTGACATGAAGATCGATTACGTTTTATTGTGTTTGTTTTTAAGGGGATGAGGATATATGTTTGTTATTTTGTTTGTAGAGTTATTTTTATGTTGCGTCCATTCTGCCGATCGACCGGCATGAGATGTTAATTTGTTGATTCTGTTGATTTCGTTTTCAGGTTATAGGGAAAAAAATTGACTTGTTCATACAATGGTCATCGTGTTCTATATCAAGTTGTGTTGATTAAGTCTTTGGTGAGGTTATTGATTCGGTATGTCTGTGGTTGCAGCCAATCGGTGTGAACTACATGAAATAACATGAATCGATCGGCTTACAGTTTTGGCCCAATAGTGAGTATTTGTTATCGGTATATTCATACTATGGGCAATTAATTTTTCCTTGAATTGTTGACGCTGAGTAACATTAAACGTTGATAGTTCGTATTTTGTTTACTGTTTTTTCTATCATGCTATCTATTTGTCCCAGTCGATATGTGAGTATTTGTTTTGAGACTGAACGTTTTATGTTAACAAGGCTTGTATGAGTATTGTTTTTGCTGGCTCTGTTTTTAGGTGACACAATCGGCCCTC